TTGTTGAGCTCGTCTGCCCATTTGGCCTTGTGTTGTTCCAACCTCGGCTTTATACCTTCTAGGATGCACTTGTTAACAGATTCGACCATGCCGTTTGACTCCGGATGGTAAATCGAGGTGAACTGCAGTTTAATCCCGTAGCTGGAACAGAAATCTCGAAAAGAGGTGCAGTTAAATTGAGGTCCATTATCAGCCACAATCTGATTCGGGATCCCATATCTGCAGATTATTGAGTTGAAAACAATGTCTTCAACCTTCTTGGAAGTAAGATTGGATAACGGCCGAGCTTCAACCCACTTTGTGAAATAATCTACACCAACAATCAGGTGGGTTACACCACCAACCCCCTTCACGAATGGGCCCAACAGATCCAATCCCCACTGAGCAAATGGCCATGGTGCTACCAGAGTAGTGAGCTCTTCTGCAGGCTGGTGAGTCAGGTGTGCAAAGAACTGGCATTTCGAACATCTCTGAACAAAGTGAGTGGCATCCTTGTACATGTTAGGCCAATAATAACCCTGTCTAAGGACTTTATGAGCCAAAGTTCGAGTACCCACGTGACTTCCGCAGACACCTTCATGCACCTCCCTAAGTGCATATTCTGCTTCATAAGGATTCAAGCACCGTAGAAGAGGTAGAGAGAAAGATCGCTTATAGAGGATCCCATCAACAAGTGTATACCGAGATGCTTTCCTCCTCAACTTCATTGCCTCCTGCCTGTCCTCAGGTACTGTCCCATCTCGTAAGAAGGAAAGGATTGGGTCAGTCCAGCTCGGTGTGCCTGGGTCGGTGCTGATCTCCATCACCCGTGGCTTCACGAAGCTTGGTTCATCTAAGACCTCCACAAAAACTGATCTGGAATGTGAAGAACTATCAGAGGTGAATTTAGAGAGTGAATCTGCCTGTTCATTCTTAGTTCGGGGGATTTTGCTCAGACAGAATTTTTGGAATTTGCATTTCAGCTTGGCCACCAGAGCTACATATTTCACCATCACAGGATCAAAAACTTCACAAATTGAGTTAATTTGGTTCACCACCAGTTGGGAGTCACTGTATACTTGGATCGCACTGAGTTTTAATTCCAAGGCTAGCTGCAGACCCAGTAGCAGGGCTTCATACTCAGCCATGTTGTTTGTTGCATCGAAGTTAAATTTCAGAGCATGTTCACTTCGGTATCCATCTGGGCCAATCAAGAGAGCACCAGCTCCTGAACCTTTGCTACTAGATGCCCCATCAACATATAAGGTCCAGTCATTGGGCTCCGGAGTAGGAATGGAATTACCTGGAGTGCACTCTACAATGAAATCTGCCAGTGCCTGAGCTCGGATTGCAGATCTCTGCTGAAATGTTATCTCGAACTCCCCCAGTTCTACTGCCCACTTAATTAATCTTCCAGAACACTCAGGCTTTTGCAGAATCTGCCGAAGGGGTTGGTCTGTAAGAATAATGATCGGGTGCGACTGGAAATACAGCCTCAACTTTATGGCCGAAGTGATGATTGCTAAAGCTGCTTTCTCAGCTATAGGATACCTCAGTTCGGCTCCATGCAGCACACTACTGATATAATATATTGGTTTCTGCTGCTTGGTTTCTTCTCTTACTAGAACCGAACTAATGGCTTCATCTGAAATTCCCAAATATAGGTAGAGGATTTCTCCATCTTTGGCTTTAGTCAGTAGAGGTGTCGAATGTGGCTTGGCATTCTTGAGTCCACTCAAACTTCTTCTGTTTACCCGATTCATCCTTCTGGGCAACTGACCTCATAATCTTGAAAAAAGGTAGGCACTTATCTGCTGACTTCGATATGAACCGATGAAGAGCTGCTACCCTTCCAGTCAACCTCTGTATGTCCTTCACTGACTTCGGCGGTTCCATCTCGACAATTGCTCTGATCTTCTCTGGGTTGACCTCAATCCCTCTCTGGGAAACCATAAAACCCAGGAATTTTCCAGATTCCACACCAAAGATGCATTTGGCTGGGTTTAACTTCATTCTATTCTGTCTAAGATTGTTGAATGTCTCCTCAAGATCGGTTAAGTAATCGTCAGCTTTCAAACTCTTCACCACTATATCATCAACATAAACTTCCAGATTCCGTCCTGTTTGAGCTCGGAATACGATGGTAACCATCTTCTGGTAAGTGGCGCCTGCATTCTTCAAGCCGAAGGGCATCATTACATAGCAATAGATCTCATCACCAGCATAGAACGAGGTTTTTTCTTCATCCTCAGGAGCCATTGGGACCTGGTGGTAGCCTAAGTATGCATCCAAGAGACTTAATCTCTCATTCCCCGAAGCTGCCTCAACCAGCTTATCAATGTTTGGCATTGGATAACAATCCTTTGGACATGCATCGTTGAGGTTAGTGTAATCAATGCACATCCGCCATTTACCGTTTGCTTTTTTCACCAACACCGGATTGGCAACCCACTCGCAGTAATTGACCCTTCTGACAAAACCAGCTTGTAGGAGTTTCTCAACTTCTTATTTAATGACCTGTAACCTCTCCCCCCCCGAAGAGGCGTCGCTTCTGGGCTACTGGTTTCTTGAGGGGATTGGTGCTGAGTTTATGTTGAAAAACTGAAGTGGGAATTCCCGGCATGTCTGTTGAAGTCCATGCAAAAACATCTTTATTGGCCCGAAGAAAAGCTATTAGCTCTGCTCTTTCCTTCGGGTTCAATTTAGTCCCAATTTGCGTTTTCCGGCGCAGATCTCTGTCATCAATCTGCACCTCTTCTACATCTTCAACTGGAGCAGCTCTGGTTTCATCTTCTGGTCAGTTATCTACTATCTCAACACCCATAACTTGCCGATCATCAAGAATCCGTTTGGGATCAACTTCGGGTGTCTAAGTCTTGCCCTTCTGAGGTTGTGTTACCGAGGTGATATAGCAATGTCAGGCCACCTCCTGGTTGCCTCGCAGCATTGCTATTCCCGTAGGAGTTGGGAACTTCATGCATAGATGAGATTGGGAAACCACAGCTTGGATTTCAGTCAGTGTGGGTCGACCAATGACGACATTGAATGAGGACGCCATCTTGACTACCAAAAACCTGACGGAAGGGGTCACATAACTTCGGCCACTGCCAAATGCAACATTCATAGTGAGGACTCCTTCAATTGGAACTGGTTGGTTGTTAAACCCGTAAATGGGACCATCATACCGCTGCAACAGAGCGGGATCTAACCCAAGACTCTCAAAACAATGGAAGTACATGATGTCTGGTGCACTCCCTGTGTCAACAAGGACACGCTGCACTTCACAATTGTTGATCGTGACAGAAATAACTAGAGGATCATTGTGAGGTGTGACAACTGTTTCGAGATCAGCAGATGTGAAAGTGATGGGTTGATTCTTCCACTCAGCATCGTCAAATTTTCGCTTCTGAGCTCAATTCTGATGCTTAACCTCTCTGACATACAGCTTTCGCTGCTTAGAGCTCAGTCCACCGACTTCCAGACCTCCCATAATCATGTGTATTACTCTAGCTGGTGGTGGGAGTGGGGGTGGGGCTTGCTGATATCCCACGCCTTGTCTGTTTGGGGGATTGCGGATTGCTTGATGCTGTGACCCTTGTTCTCTGACAAACCTTGGCTGTTCCACTCTCTGGATGTACTCATTCAACATTCCTTTCTGTGCCAGACTTTCCAGTTCGGACCTCAGACTATTACACTGCTCTGTTGTATGACCATGATCCTGATGAAAATCACAGTACCTAGTATGGTCTCTGGTAGCAGCAGCAGTTCTCATTGGACCCGGACGTCTTAAGTCCATCTTATTCTTAATCTGCATAAAGATTTGTGACCTCGGTAAATTAAAAGGAGTCCAATTAACTGGAGGTTTACCTGCAGGTTGTTGCGGAGGTGCTGAGTTCGGCCTTCCAAATCTCAGGGTCGACATCGGACCTCGGTTCTGTGTTGTCTTCATCCGTTTCCTGTTCGGATTCTCATCTCTCCAGTCCGGGTGTTGGCTCTTAGTAGGAGTTAGGTTCTGCGACAGGGCATATTCCTCAGCAGTTATGAATTTCAACGATCTATCATTTACCTCGCTGAAGGTGCTGGCAGGATGTTTGAGCAGACTATCTCGGAACCTCTCATGGCCAAGACCCGAGATCACCGCTGTAATTCCCACAGCTTGGTCGAAAGAATTAACCTCCAGCACTGCATCATTGAATCTGCTCATAAAATTCTTCAAAGACTCTCCGTCCCTCTATTTGACTCGCATCAGCTCAGAAGTGGTTTTCCTGATCAACCTTCTACTGGAAAACTTTGTGGCAAAAGCAGATGCCAGTTCTGCGTAAGAGTTGATTGACCTCGGAGGCAGACTATAGTACCAAGTTCGAGCATTTCCCCGGAGGGTAGAGGGAAAGATTTTGCACATCAATGCGTCAGAGGTGTTCTGGGATTGCATGCAAGAGTAGAAAGCATGTAGATGGTCATCAGGGTCCTTCGTCCCATCATAAGTTTCAAGCTGTGGTATTCTGAAGCCAGCAGTATAAGGTTCGAGTAAAATATTGGTGTTGAGAGGGTGGGGTACGAAGTCAACAGCAGGGTGTGGAGGTGGGGCACCTCGCTGTTCAACTAGTAGCCGTTCCAAGCTATCTAGACGTCGAGTGACATCGTCATGGCGGGGTTGCTGGGCTGGGGCGATGTGAGATTGACCTTGAGATTCACTAACAGTGGGAGCATGTTGAACTGGTTCAGGATTTTGTGGTGGGGCTGGGGGTTGTGGTGGGGTAGGATTAAGTAGATTGATAAGTGGATCACCAGGATTATTCCGGGTTAACAACTGAGCCAGCACTTGCTGAAAGACACCAAACTGCTGTTGCATGGCGGCAAGCTGAGTTACAACTATGTCTTAGTTAGTGGTAGAGGTTGAGTTGTGAGCCGAATTGTGTGGCTGGTTTTCATCCCCTCCCTCTGTATGGTCAGCATGAGGGAATATACTCGGGATTAGGGGTGGGGGATGAGGTGGAAGGTTGCTGGGGATCTAACCTCGTCCAAGAGGTTGAGACGAGTTTCCCCCTCGAGCTGACCTAGTTCTAACCATGATAAGAGCAACAAGGGAGCCTTTAGTTCAGGTTCCCACAGACGGCGCCAAAATGTAACTGCACCAAACCGGAAGTCCTTCTTTAGTCCGTATCTGCACCCTAGATTAACCTGCAAAGCCCCGAGATGGATCCTCGGGGTAGACACTCCGATGCTTAAGTCAGCAATAATCGGGGCTACCTTTAAAGCGTAGACACAAGGAGCTTAGGGTTAGTTCCAATTACCTTTTGGCGTGGCCCTTAAGAGGTATTTATATGTTCCGATGCAGAATCCACGCGGCATGCCAATCAAGATGCCAAGCAAGATATCCGAGATCCGATGTGTATCTCCAGGCAGTTATTTCGGGACTGGGAGATTGAGCTAAGCAAAATATCCGGGATGTGATATGTATCTCCAAGCAGTTATTTCGGGACCGGGAGATTGAGATATATCTAAATACAAGGATGTCCATCGTAACTGCCGTGTAGCTATTCTAGCGAGAAGCTCTGGACTTACCCTTACACTACCATTGTCGTACCGCAAGCTTGATGATATTACCAATTTACCCTTTTTGCTTACCAATTCACTGCTCGGCGGTGCCAAAGTTCTCTCATCTCGTACGGTTGTCTGGCTGCCATGGTACTAGTGACAAGTGCCCACCCCTAGTCGTGTTGATTTGATGAAATGAGCGGAAGCACACAGATCTGAAGGTACGACTTTTTATTTTTTGTTAAGCCAGAGGACAAGCGGTAAAAGTCCCACCAATAAGTGAGTCTCAATACCAAAGTTATTGATTACATTTGGTCAGTACATATTGATTTTTGTATTAATTTGAAATTATAAAATATTTAATTTTGTTTTAATTAAATTTTATTAATTTTAATTAAATTTAAATATATTAATTGATACACAAAAAATGTTTCAGTAAAAAAAATCAATACAAATTGAAAAGAGTAATGCTAAGGGCACTTACCTCTGCACTATCCAACCTACACATGCTTTTTTATTGGGTCATGTAAGTTTGCTTGAAGCTATTAAATCCACCTCTTTCAACTAAAATAACGCGGCCGAATGAAAATGGAAGTGTTCATCAGAGAGTGCAATTGGTGAGTGCTTCTAGTATTGCCCAATTGGAAAATGTGTTTGCAGTACAAAATCAATTCACACTTGAAAAATGTGCTGGTACAAAAGTAATTCAAATTTGAAAAGGTCAATTTTATTTTTGGTCTTTAATTTTAAAGTTTCATGTAATTTTTATTTTTTTATTTTTTATATATTTTTTTAATTCATTAATTATGAAAAATATATTTTTTTAATTTTTTTATTAGTTATTCAATTAAATTTGTCTAAATATACATATTTCATGTTTGAAAAAATTATGAATATTTTATAAAATTAGTTATTTTAAACTTATTTTCAATTTATAAAAATATAAGTTATAAAAATATATATATTTATAATGATAAATTCAAAATGGTACGCAAAAAATTTTAGTATCCAGTACGTATCGTTCTAGTTGCAAAACCAATACATATATTGGTACGGTATTGGCAACTTTGCCCAATACTAATGTGGCATCCATGTGTGCAAACTATGCCATTTAAAAACCTTTCACATTGGATTAACAAAGTCACGTCATGTTCATATCATTGTCCAAGTGTAACACCTCATATTTTAATAAATAAATTATAACCTAAAATATCTTATTTTAAAGTTTTACTCCATGTTTGGATACTCAAACATAACTCAGGATTGGATAAAAATTAATCATAAATTGTTGTAACCCACGTTTGGTGCTGTATAAGGATTGAACAAATCATAATCCACACTTTATACAATCCCAACTGTAATTGCACCAAACTAGAGATCCTTCTTCGATCTGCGTCTTCACTTCGGATGAACCTGCAAAGCCTAGAGGTGGGTCCTCGAGGTAGACACTCCAATGCTTAAGTCAGCAATAATCGGGTCTATCTCTGGACTAATGAAAAAGGAGCTTTAGGATGGTATCAATTACCTTTTTAACATGGCCCTTGGGGGTATTTATAGGCTTTCATGAGGTATCCACGTGGCTTGCTTAGCAGGATGATCGGAGTGTGACGTGTCCCTTAAAGAGATAAATTCGGGACCGGCTACAAATTCGGGACCAAGAGTTATGTAATAAATAAGGTGTGGATATGCTCACTGTATTTATCGTGCATCTGTTTGACCAGAAATGCTGGGTTTAACTTCACTTCGGCTATTAAGGAATTGTTACAGTGCGTTCAAGGTTAAGGACCTCGGACTTATCCTTACACTATTTCCCCCCGAAGTCATTCACTTGTGAATGATGTTATTAGAGATAATGGGAGTAGTGTATAAATAGAGAGGGAAGGGGACAAAAATATCAAAGATGAGTTACAGAGGTAAAAGTAAAAATTAAAATTAAAATCTGTAACTCAAATGCATATATGGCCGTAGCTAATAGTGTAGTATATGACATGGGATCATGTTGGCCATGCCCAAAATAAAATGTGAGCGGAGTGATTGTGGCTGTAGCCGTGATAAAAATAATGACCAGAGTCAATGTTACCGGAGCCATAGTAAGAGCCGTAGTGAAATGTGATGACCGGAGTCATAGTGGCCGGAGCTGTAGTCAGAAATGATGACCGGAGTTATGGTGGCCGAAGCCGTGATAAAAAATGGTGACCAGAGTCAATGTGGCCGAAGCCGTGATAAAAAATGGAACGTGTGACACTGGGTCACTGTGGCCAGAACTAAAGTACAATATGTAACAAGGAGTCACAATGGCCTGGGCTGAAGTAAAATATGTGACAGTCACAGTGGCCAGAGCCGAAGTGAACAACTTGTAAGTTAAAAATATAATTGTGAAAGTAAACAGAAGTGTTGAGGTGGGCTTAAGTAGGCCCGTTCATAAAGTTTGACGTAGGGTTATTATGTGACATGACAGATGTCTATCGAAAGACGTGTACAATTAATACGGGTTGAAAAAAGTAACCGTGACAATCAGGCAAATGGAATTAGGAAACAAACCGTTGAATTCAAACAGTTACTGTTAGGGTTACATAGTTGAATTCGAATCGGTGTGAATAAGGACCATAAGATTAAACAAATCCCAACCGTTGAGATCTAATTTTGCCCAGAGGTATATATAGTCATTTTTTTGTAGAAAGAATTTACTTTCATTGTATTTTCTGCAAAGTTTTTGTAAAAGCTTTACTGTGTGCTTCCTGTGCGTGGACTACTGCGTCATTTGTGGATTTCTACATCAAGTTTTTGAAACTGAAATCAGGTAATGTATACGAATCTTTGATTTTGATTTAATCGAAGTGTCACTCTCCTTTCTCCATTTCTGTGGTTGATTTTGAGTCTTTTGAAGGAAGTTAAGGTTGGGAGTGAGAATGATTTTAAGTGTGCGTTAGAGTTTTTTTTTTTTTTTTTTAAAGGGTCCTGACTTCATTCCTCCCCCTACTTCATGCAGAAATTGAGGAAATGTCTTCGAAAGAAACTGTAAGTGTTGTAGGAAGTGAAGTAATGCCTTTGGAGTACGGTGGGATGGACTTAGAGAGTAGTCCATCTAGTTTAGAAAGGACAGTGGAGGGAGTGGGAGGAGGGGAGGTAGTTGGGGTTGGGGGAGATAGTGTACCCATCACTGTGGTAGAAGTGGAGGGTAGGAGAGAGAGGTGCTATGATGTAGATGCAGATATAGTGGAGGAGGTGAAACAGTATGAGTCTGAGCTCGGGACTAGGGATAGCTTGGGGTATTTGGTGGAGAGTTATGAGATCTCCTCTGGAGTGTTAATTAGGCCAGCTGGGGTAAAGAAGAGGGCGTGTTCTGCTCCTTGGGATCATTGGATGTCTGTGTATGCCTATTATTTTGCAGTCGGGCTTAGGTTTCCAATTCTTGAGTTGCTAGTGGGTTTTCTCTTAGATTACAACATAGGGTTGACATAGTTAGTCCCTAATGCTATGAGGGTAATAATAGGATTTTTAGTTTATTGCCGAACTTAGGGGATTAATGTGCCAACTGTAAATATGTTTAAGTATTTTTTTGTTTTAAAGGGAGGTAGTAGGAAGGATAAGGGGTGGTATTATTTCACCCCTAGGGTAGCAAATAGGGAAAGTAGAGTTTTATTTACTACGGGTCCTTCATCCATTAAAGGATGAAAGGAAAAATTCTTTTTTGTAGATGATACTGAGTGGGAGAAGGTGGATACCGAGGTGGAGGAGTTGTCATCCTAGAAGGCTAAGAGAGCCAACCAGAATAAGTTTAGTTTAAATGAGGATGAGGAGGAAGAGGTGGGTAAGTTGGTGAGGGAAGGAGGGGATTTAGTAAATATCTCGTACCTCACCAGCGCGGAATGCATAGAAGCTGTTGAGCTCTATGGGTCAAGCGCTTTAAGTAAAGGTTTGTTTAAATTTATATTGTAGTATTTAATGTAGAGTATAGAGCTGTGTAATTGATACTGTGTTTTCTTGTTTTGCAGCTGAAATGGACAAATTTTTGAACGCTGCTGGAGGAGTGGCCATCCCCAAGAAGCCAAGGAAGAAGTCAAAGACTTCAACCAAGCAAGTGGATGAGGAGGGAGTAGGAAGGGAGGTAGTGCCCAACACTTCAGCCGAGGTGGAGGAGGAGGTGCCACGGTTGGAGTTGAAGAGGAAGGGTAAGGAGGAGGGAAGGGCACTACAAAAGAAGAAGAAGGTGGTGGAGGAAGAGAAGAGGGGGAGCGAGGTTCCCCAGTTCGTACCTCAGCCTCCTCTTGTTGAGCTCGACCCTAAGCTTAGGGAATCTGAAGAGGGGGCTGAGGTATGAGCTCCTGGCAAGGGAAACGGCTTTGTTCCTCTGTTGTCCTTTCAGAGCAACCTGTTCGAGGCAAAGAACATGACAGGGGCCAGGAGGTTCATCAATTCCACCTTCCCCGAAGTGGACAAGTGTCATGCATGGGACGAGGCTCTCAGGTATTGTGGGGCTTCGGTGGTGAAGCATGTTTTGGAGGTATGTTAAGTCTATTAACTTGTAGTTATTGGTGTGTTTGATTTTTGTTGTGTTGTGTTTTTTAAACTTCTGCTTGACTTGCAGAGCGCGAACTAGGTGAATGGTCTAGCCCAGAAGTTTATGGAGAGTGTGAAGGAGCGCTCCCTCTTGCAAAGGCAGTGTGACCAGTTGTAAAAGGAGAAGGAGGAGCTGGAGAAGAAGAATAAGGAAATGCAAGAGGTGCTAGACGAGGTGGTTCCAGTAGTGAAGCGGTTAGAGCAGGAGAGGGCTTCCCTGAGTACCAAGCTCGTCTTTGAAGAAAGTAAACGAAAAATCTCTGAAAGCGAGCGTGAGGCTCAAGAGAAGGAAATAAGGCTGATGAAGGAGGCTTATATGGAGCTGAAGAAGAATGTGCAGCTGCTGGTGCACAATGGGATAGAGGAGCACATCATCAACTTCGTCAACTCCAGCTTGTTTGACAGCATTGTCAACCTCTACCGGCTGCCAACTGCCATCCTTGCTTTCATAGACTGTAGAAAGAAGTTGAAGGCTGAATATCCCGAAGTAGATATTACAAAGATCACCTTCGGTGAGCAAGAAGAGGGAGTAGAGGAGAATGGTGAAAGCATGTCAGTAGACTTCCGTCCTCAGATTAAACTGAGGTGGGATCATGATGCAGACAGACGCACTATTTTCCCTCCAATTTTTGACTTTGAGTTTGTTGCAGTAAAGGAAGAAGGGGGAGAGGTAGAGGAAGATGAAATGGGGGCAAGAGTGGAAGGAACTGAAGTGGAGGAGAGTCACCCACCTCATCCAGTGGAGATTCATCCAGTTCCTTCTGATGATGAGCAGCCTCCTCTGCTAGACGAGCAGCCGCCAACACAGCCACCTATTCTAGCTGAGCAGTAGCCAATTCAGTCGCCTCCTCCAGCAGAGGAATAAAGAATTTTTGTTTTTTAATTACAGTAAAACAATTTGTAATACTTTCATTAGTTTAAATGAAAATTTTGTTTTTGAAATAATATGTTATGTTTGCTTTATGTTTTTGTCGTTTTATATTGATAGAAGAATTGAAATTACTTTGGATATGTCTTACAGTAAAGTTAATCATTTCAAAGATGAAATAAAAAGAGTTAACTACTTCATAAATGAACTAAGAAGAAGTAATGCACTTCAGATAAAGAAGAAGTAAAGCACTTCAGATGCGAAGTGACTTTCATTAATAAAAATGAAGTTCATTAACAGATTGACCTCGGATATACAGAATAGGAGGTAAAATGAATTTGTAATCAAGAAATGATGATTATAAAGGACAATGAGACATAAGTTACTTGAAAGAAGTTTATTAAGGGTAAAATTTCTTCAAGTTATTAATATTCCAGACTCTAGGAACTCTCTTTCCTTCAGCGTCTTAGAGGACATAGGCTCCAGGATGTGGGACCTCGGCCACCGTATAAAGGCTTTCCCAGTTTGGGGCCAATTTGCCAAAATGAGTTTCGAATCCTGTTAGGCCAGCTTTTCTGATAACAAGGTCTCCTACTTTAAATGTTCGAGGGTGGACTCATTTGTTGTAGAAGTTGGCTAATTTCTGCTTGTATACAAGAGTTCGAAGCCGTGCTTCTTCTCTGACTTCAGCAAGCAGATCAAGATTTTCCCGAAGCAGTTGTCCATTTCGTCATTCATCGAAATGGGTGACCTAGAAGCTTGGGACTCCTATTTCAATATGAATGACTGCTTCGGTACCAAAGGCCAGGTGGTAGGGTGTTTCACTTATTTCATGAAATTGTATTATTTAGAATATGCTTTACATATTATGGATACTTGATCTAGGGTAGAGTCACAGGTGAGGAAGTAAGGTAGAATGAAAATAAAACGAAAGGGACTTGGTTTGAAAATAGTACTTGTGGCAGTTCTACTCGTTGTTTTGTATGCCCAGAGGACGTTGTTGAGCTCGTCTGCCCACTTGGCCTTGTGTTGCTCCAACCTCGGCTTTATTCCTTCTAAAATGCATTTATTAACAAATTCTACCATACCATTGGACTCCAAATGGTAAACCGAGGTGAACTGCAATTTGATCTCGTAGCTGGAACAAAAATCTCGGAATAAGGAGCAGTTGAATTGAGTTTCATTATCATCCACAATCTGATTCGAGATCCCATATCTGCAAATGATCGAGCTGAAAACAAAGTCTTCGACCTTCTTGGAGGTAAGACTAGATAATGGCCGAGCTTTAACCCATTTTGTGAAATAATCCACAACAACAATCAAATGGGTTACACCACCAACCCCTTTCATGAATGGGCCCAAAAGATCCAGTCCCCACTGAGCAAATGGCCATGGTGCTACCAAGTTCGTGAGCTCTTCTGCTGGTTGGTGAGTCAGATGTGCAAAGAATTGGCACTTCAGGCATCTCTGAACAAAGTGAGTAGCATCTTTGTACATGTTTGGCCAGTAATATCCCTACCTTAAAACTTTGTGAGCCAAAGTTCTAGCACCAATGTGACTCCCGCAGACACCTTCATGTACCTCCCGAAGTGCGTATTCAGCTTCGTAAGGGTTTAAGCACCGTAGAAGAGGGAGTGAAAAAGATCTCTTATAGAGGACTCCGTCAACGAGTGTATACCGAGATGCTTTCTTCCTCAAGCTCATTGCCTCTTGCCTATCCTCAGGTGCTATTTCGTCTCATAAAAAGGAGATAATTGGGTCAATCCAGCTCGATGTGTTTGGGTCTGTGTTGATTTGCATCATTCGTGGCTTCATGAAGCTTGGTTCATCTAAGACCTCCACAAAAACTAATCTGGAACTTAAAGAGCTGTCGAAGGCAAATTTAGAGAGTGAATCTACCTGTTCATTCTCGGTTCGGGGAATTTTGCTTAAACAGAATTTCTGGAATTTGCACTTCAGCTCGGTCACTAGGGCTACATATTTCATCATCACAAGATTGACGACTTCGCAGATTAAGTTGATTTGATTCACCACCAGTTGGAAGTCATTGTACACTTGGATCGTGCTGATTTTCAACTCCAATGCTAGTTGCAGACCAAGTAGCAGGGCTTCATACTCAGCCATGTTGTTTGTTGCATCGAAGTTAAATTTCAGAGCATGTTCACTCCAGTATCCAGCTGGGCCAATTAAGAGAGCACCAGCACCTGAACCCTTGCTACTAGATGCCCCATCAACATATAAGGTCTAATCGTTGGGCTCTAGATTAGGGGTTAAATGACATGGAGTGCATTCTAAATAAAATCTGCCAACGCTTGAGCTCGAATTGCAGATCTCTGCTGAAATGTTATCTTAAATTCTCCCAGTTCTACTGCCCACTTAATTAATCTTCCGGAGCACTCTGACTTCTACAGAATTTGTCAAAGAGGTTGGTCTATGAGGACGATGATTGGGTGTGGCTGGAAATATGGCCTCAGCTTCTTGGCCAAAGTAACAACTGCTAATGTTGCTTTCTCAACAATAGGATACCTCAGTTCTGCACCATGCAGCACACTGCTGATGTAATAAATTGGTTTCTGTTGTTTGGCTTCCTCTCTCACCAGAACCGAACTAATAGCTTCGTCTAAACTTCCCAAATACAGATAGAGAATCTCTCCATCTATAGCCTTAGTCAGTAAGGGTGGTAAGCTAAGATAAGACTTCAGCTCCTCAAATGCGGCTTGGCATTCTTGATTCCATTCAAACTTCTTTTGTTTGCCTGATTCATCCTTTTAAGCAGCTGACCTCATAATCTTGAAAAATGGCAAGCACTTATCTGCTGACTTCGATATGAACCTATGAAGAGCTGCCACCCTTCCAATTAGCCTCTATATATCTTTCACTGACTTCAGCGGTTGCATCTCGACAATTGCTCTGATCTTTTCTGGATTAACCTCAATTCCTCTTCGGGAAACCATGAAGCCTAGAAATTTTCCAGACTCCACGCCGAAGATGCATTTGGCTGGGTTTAACCGCATTCTGTTCTTTCTGAGATTGTTGAAAGTTTCATCGAGATCAACTAGATGGTCCCCTACTTTCAAGCTTTTTACCACAATCTCATCGA